GAACTACGGACAGTATAACCGGACAAAAATTATCACTTTGTATTTTTTCCGAGACAACCACAACGGGACGTAATGCCAAAATAAGTGTAAATTCCGTATGTATATGAGACTGTGTCTCTGGCTATGTCAGTTTATTCTGATATAGAACCCTAACCTCATCTTATTGACGATAACTTAAGTGTTTTTAAAAAATATTCCAGCCATTTCGTACATCTTGTTGTAGTTTACGTCATGGACACAAACAAACACGATCGTGTTGTTTTTAGAGTTATTTTGGAAAGAAGCTACCACCCGCGCTTGTGTGTGTAGTTATGTGTATGTGTGTGTGTATTTGTGTATATTTATTTATATATTTATATACACACACCATTTGAACCATTTTGACCCTCCTCTTCCTTCTCTTTTATACTGTTCCATTACCCCTAATAAATCGTAAATAAACAAATAGTTTGCCTCGTGACTCGTAGCTCGTATAAACAGCGGTGAAACTATATTATATGTACGAGGTCCTTACACGCTACCGAAGTCAACTTAATTCCGCCCTTCTTACCGATCCAACCCTTAACGCGCTATCGAAAAACTTGGCTCCATACCTGTCTTAGGTTAATGCATGTAGTTCCGAATCTAAAGTTTATGTCGCAAGCACACAAAAACTAAACATGATAATACCATAGAATTGGATAAACAATAATGATTAATATGGTATTTATTATTTAAGTACCTACCTATATTATTATAATTTTAGTATGGTTACCAAATAATTATAGAAATATGTCCAAGTATAATTGTCAGAATTTTTTACTGCAATCCGCTTTGATTGTATTCAACTAAATTTATTGTGTCAAATTATTTGATGAATACATACGAGGTGATTCATCAAACATACTCAATACTCATCCTCTATTTTTTTTATATTCTTATTTTAAATTTTTATATTTTTAAATATATTTTAAGCAACTATAATATCAATTTGAAAGTTAATTTATCGAAAGTATAAACATTGTTTTTAAAAGGAAATTACGTATTTTTTTTCAATACATTTTTAAGCAAATAATAATTAAAAAAAAAATATATATATATATATAAATAATGATGTAATAATGCAAATTTAAATTAAAAGGGTGGTTAGTTTATGAATTATTAAGTTTTATATATTAGAAATAATCATCGATGATAGGTGGTTTAAATATATGCATAAATCGAATATATTATAATAATTTAAAAATCATACCAATTAATATTAATATATTAGCAGCTTATGTTTAGAAAAATGTTCTGAATATGCTAAGTAGGTATAACTACTTGACTAATTAGTATAAGTTTAAATAACAAATTATATTAAATTTATCTAAAACCAATAATATCTCCTCAATACAAAATGTTTATTAACTAGGGAACTCCTCAGTAAATTTCAATATGAATGCATCAACATTTTCAAAAAATATTTATTTTTAAACAATGTACAGAAGAAAAAAATCGTTGTTCTAAATTGAAAGATATAAGTTTATATACTAGATATTTCTTAAAACGGTATCAACAATCTAAAAATATGGTCTTAAATAAACAATTCCAAAAACTAAATGACTGTAGTATTAAAGGATAAGAGGTATTGTCCATCAAACAATCGATCAACTGTTATTACCGAGAACTGACAACATTTATGATGTACACAAGAAAATATAATGTATTGATTGTTGTGATTGAAAAGCAATTTTAAATGCTTTAAAATGTGTATTATTACACGTCGGTTTTTTTTTTTTTTTTTTTGTTCAATTAAACGAGTTTTTAACAATATTAGAAACATTTGTTTTCTAAGAAAAATACGAAAACGAATCTATATTACAATAGTCGATATCTATAAATATAATTCATGATAAAAGTACCAAATTAAATGGGTGGAGTATGAAATTATTTCGATATAGTTTGCGAGTATTAATCTTAGGTCTCTAATCTCTTGAAAATACGAAAATGATAAATACCGTGGAATATAAAGACTATTTAACGTTTCGATGATTGTCAAAGGAATACCTATACACACATCGCAAGTGTATACAGGTTAAATAAATTTATGGACCAACAGCGAACTCGGATTACCATTAATTAATAATGCTTTGATAGATGTTGTATAGACGTTATTGTGTTCTAGGTCATGTGACCGTATTAAAATTATCCCTACTTGGACCAATGTCAATATGAAAATCTTATTATTGTGTGCCCGTGCACGCTATTGTATTGAGTGCCTTTGGGTTTGTCGTCCAGTTTACCAAATTGCGTCATGGCTGTTTGTTAATAACGGGTCGAATTTGGTTACCTACCAAAATAAATTATAAGGTCTTAGAATGGATATTAACATCAGACCATGTTCGATCTTTCTAGTTTAATTATATTTTATGCATAGATTAATACAGAAAAAAAAAATTGACTAAATGAAAAAATTCATTGGCCTACAATTATAATAGTTTAATGTACCTATTAATTAAAAAAAAATATTTACATAAAAAATAAAAAAATATAAATAATTAAATGCTCATATCACTTCATATTTATTTTGGGATTTTGTAGGTTTGATAGTTTTCGAATTTCTTAATTAGGAAACAAAAATTATTAAATTGTTTTTACTATTGACTATTGAAGTTCACATTAATTATTTTGAATTTATTAGTTTTATTATTACGGCCATCGAAAAATAAAATGCAAAAACTGTGGAACGTATAACCCAATATAAATAATATGTAATACGTGAAAAGGGCACTTTACCCTGAATAAAATATATAACTTAAGAAATGAGCCTATACATAGGTCGTTTATGAACTAAAATAATATTCGATGCGTGTGGATTACGATTTAATCTTTTTGAAATTAAAATAGATTAGTGGTTTAATGATTGCCATTAAATTAATAAAAATGATTTTATCTTCACCATGGAATAATATTTGGTATTCATTGGTTTAAAATTGTTGACCATTTTGCAGGGTATCGTTGCATGACACGCGTCGTCATCGTCGTAAATCGTCCTAACATTATTGTATGTGACGAAAACGTCCAGTTTCCGTACACTATAATATAATCATTATATAGATAACGTTACATTATTATTTACCGAATACCTGTGCGCGTTTCGCTCTACTCAACAGCAATCGTATGATTGATTGTGCCCGCCACCTAATCGCACCGGAAGAGCTTAATCATAAACGCAATTAGCATTTTTATATTACGACGCGTTTTCCATTTTCCCGTTAAATCTCGTAAACGAATCTGTGATTGTGGCGTACTACAGATATATAGGTTTTCGTTCGGTCCATTTTACCGGAAAACTTCATATTACCCCACTGTCGAGCATGAGGCAATCCCGACAAAAAAGAAATGAAATAAAAAATATATTTAATAATAATGCGATTATGCGTTTTGAGCACGGAACACGTACATTTCGGAGTAAAAAAAAAAAATAAAAAAAATAAAAATATGGCATGTGGCGGCGTGTTTGCGCATCACAGCCGTCGAAAATACAGGAAATCCCGTATTGTAATATCGTAGAGAAACGCTAAATGGATAAAACGCCGTTCTCTAGTAGCAGTTGTGAGTTATGATATTTCCTACGAGCGCGGCGCAGGTGATAACGTGATAATATTATTATTGTGTTCTAAAACACTGCGATTAAGTGGGAAACTGTATCGTAGAATTACGGCCGAGATATTCCGAAATTTCTGTTGTCTATAAGGAAGCCAACGAAGATGATTTTACGGAAATGATGTCGTTTCATAAAATATTATAACAACTCGCACCTATCTAGAACGATAAAATACATTTACGTTCATTTCTGCTAGTAGGTATGCGACCAAATTTCGTTTTGATGTTTATTATTGTAAAACCGCAAATGCAATGAATGTTCATTTTTTAACGTTATTGAACATTTATATTTTTAACAATTCTTTTTATCGTACGGATTTAATAATATACAGTTAATATATAGTTAAACAAATCACTGTTGACAATATGACAATATTATTAAATTATGAATTCGTTACGACTTACAAATTGTAATAATTTATTCCTTACGGATAACCGTCTAGTGTCTATTCGTTCAAAACACATATGTGTGGCAGCTTAGTGTTATGGTCATGATCAATGCCTAAAGGGTAAGTTAAAGAGGGTTTCAACTTTAACAGTAAATGTCAGGGTTTTTTTTTTAAAGGGTTTCCGCTGTATCATTAATTATGTAAGAACACTAAAACCGTCTATATGGTCGTGTGAATTTTCGATGATTCTTTTTCCCCTTCCCCCTCGTCTCACGCATTCCCTCTCACTCTCTCACACACACCCTCGACCTCTTTTTCTCCCTCTTTCTCTCTCTTTTTCTCCGAATACTTTATTAGGAATCGCAATGTATAGTGTTCTGGTAACAAGGGGGGAGGTAACGTCACCACTGCCAGGCCAGAAGCTTCACATAAAATATTAAACACTGTGCGGGATACTCGTGTCAAATAATTATTCGTATACTCACCAATTGTTCTATTCATCCCTACAATATATGAACGCAACGCTAAGTGTTTAGAGATCGTTTGCTCCCAGAGGATTACTTTTGCTTTTTAATCGGCATTTGCTTTTAATGCGATTGAGTAGGATATATCACGTACGGACGTGTTCATAATATATTATTATATGCGACCGATAAGATGAAGGTAAGTAAGCGCATTTGGTATAAGTAGCCGAGTTTCGCCAATTTCATTGTTTATTTAAATCTATTATTGCGAATTTACATCGTAATGGATTTTTACAACGATATTCAGGTAAATATTTTGTTTGTTCGGTATTGTATATAATATACAATACTGTATATATACTGTAACTTGCACAGTTCTTAATAATGATGTACGTTGTACCGTTTGATGTATTCAATAATAAATATAATACAAAAATGTCTTATAGGTATACATAAACAACATTAGATTGTACTAGATATATAAATATATATTTCATGTATACTAAAATCCATAGCTTACCTAATATCTCGACAGTATGTGATATCTCCCTGGGTTTCAGAGTTGCTATTTGGCACACGTAATTTCCTGCGTCGTTTGTTTGAATATCACGGATTTCCAGGTTATTGCCGTCCACTAGACGAATCCTTTCATCTGGAGACACCTTAGTGCTTCCTGCTGTTAGTACCGCAATTCCTTTTTTCCACGCTAAAATGTATACTCCTGAAAAATAAAATATTACCAATGTAACTATATGGTATGGTTCAATTCTAGGCAAACGTGATAAAAATATACTTATACAATTCATTTTAATGGAAGTTTTTTCTTTCATATGACAACATTTAATACTTTAGAATTTTTAAAAGTTTATACCATATAAAAATGATTTTATAAATCTGCAGGGTTGTAAACATTTTAATCTCTATACATAATATTATATTCCAAATAATTTTCTGTTATTCTATTTCGAGTAAATAATACGTACTAATATTTCTTTTTAAATTTATTTATGTCAATAATTACATTTGAAAATAAATAATCTACATAAACGTATTAACTTAAATTAAATAAATAATGGGTGATAAATAGTTTTTAAACTTAACTATTTGTTTCTAATTTACATAAATATAGATTGATGATTTTCATTACCGAAACTATACCTCTTATTTTTAATGTTAAATAAATGAAATGTATAAATCATATTTAAAGAAAATAAAAATAACTTTAATTTGATCGTACAAAAACGCAGACTTCAATAATTGAAGTTTCAGTTTATGATGACGACAAGAACTATAATTTTGAAAAATAAACATAACATTAATAATAATGCAAAACATTCATGTCAGTGGTTTATTTTTATGTGCTAAAAAAAAAAAAAAAAAGTTTATCTAATTAGAAATTGAAAAACTGGAAAGAGTTAAAACTGTTCAGTTCAGTTGATTGATTGTAGTTATTCGTTTAATAAAAATGGGTCAGCCAGGTTTCTGGAATTATAATTAATTACAGATGTTCACAGTCCAAACAGATTTTATTATTACTCTCAATTGGTTAACGAATTATGAAGAAAAAACGTTTGGTTAGGTATAATATAAAACAAAACAAATAGAATTTAATTAACGTTTGTATGACAATATTGATGATAATTTGTTGATTTGAGATTATCTAATCATTATTAAATTTATTATTACAGCCATCATTCTTCCAATATATTTAAATAAATATTTATTAATTTATTTTTATTATTAATGGTCAATATAATAATAGAAAAATACAATTTTAATCAATAAAAAATGAGAACTTAATGGTATTTAAGTAATATAAATATATACGAGTCTAATTTTTTTATTTGCTAAATTTAGTTTTTAAATCTAACTAAACAAATATAATCTAAAAATAAAAAATGAAAAAATCGTGATTCGTTAATAGTTTGAAAAATTCAGTGTTATTTAAACTTAAAATCTTTAAAAAAACATTGAATTGTTTAAATTCAAATATTTGTTAATATTATATTATACATTATAATGTATATATCTAATTGATTAAATTATAATAAAGATATTACATGTGTGTATAATGTATATGTACTAAAATAGAAAAGCAAATATTATAACAATAAAATATAAATTAAAACTAAAACTTTCAACAGTTTTTGTTGTTAAAATTTTTAACAAATTTAATTCTTTAGAATGATGAAATAATGTAGATTATATATCAGGAATTACAATAAAACATCGATATGGATAGTAACAACAATAACGTATATTCGTACATTTGTAATTTAACCATCGTTTTTCCTTCGCAAAATCTGATAAATAAATAAAATAAACACAATATTTATTTTCAACTACGAGAAATGTTCAATCAATAACAAAATCTCAAAATTAATCCTGAATGGTCGTGTCAAAAAAAAAAATGTTTTGTTTTTAGAAAACATTTACATATCTGAGTTTGTTATGAAAATATGTTTTATTAACTATTTAACTCTCTTTAATTATCATAATTTTATGTGTTTATTAATATATTTAATGAATATGATTTTTGATTAGAATATACTGCAAAGTTAATGCCATAGTATGTATATGAGTTGTACTTAATAAACCTAAAAGAAAAGTTAAGGCTAGTAAAAAATCATTTTTATTGATAAAATAATAATAATACGTAAGGTTGATTATTTGTGAGAAAATAATTACCTTCAAAAAGTTTATATGTTTTTCAATCATCAATTAATTTTTAATTTTGAAGTGAATGATTTAATCATTCTAATAATATTAGCTCTACCAAAATTATAAAAATAAAAATCAATTAATAATTTTCAAACTTTGGACTAAATTAACGCAATATACATCAATTAAATCTATTTATTTCAGTTATAAAATATATTACTTTTTGAGATAAATGTTTAATAGTTCGATATATTTGTTTTGTTAATAGACAGTATAAACAGTATAATTTAACTACAGAGTCTGAATTAAACTGTTAGATTATTTGCATTCGCTTGAACTATAGCATATCGTTTTTTAATCTAAATTATTCAACGACACAATTAGTTTTTAATCTATCCACTATAATATAAAAAGTAAAACCAACTAAATGAAGACAAAACTATCATTTTTATGATATTTATGCGTCTTCATAAATTATGGTGAATTTTTAAAACAGAAAATATTTCTGATCAAGTATGTTTGATACGTCTCAAGAATATAATTCAAATGTGTTTGAAATATCAATAGCTGTATGTATTGCCGTGCGTTCGAAACTTCCAATTTACAAATTTAATAAAATTTGTCGGGTTTACTCAATAACTATATGATTCAATAACCGCCAATTCTCAATGCCACAAAATGGTATGTAAGTACACATAATAAATACGATGCTTATTGCACGAGTGAACATATATTTATACCGATAACCAGAAGTATTAGGGGTAATACGATTTTATAATTAAGTACAGCTCAATTATTTATCACTAGTACGTGTTTTAACTGCTGGGTATAATAAAAACTAAAGACAAAATGACGAATATTGAAAATAATATGCAGTTAGCTTTATAATAAATAGTGGTAGATTTTAAAAAACGATGAATGAATACGAAAATTGCACTTTTGATGGATGGGTTTTTGATTCACCTTTGCCAATGGAGCGAAATAGTAGTTGAAAGTATGCATAAATTCGTATATTACAGCGGAAGCTTTACTATAACTACCCCGCTCCCTTCCATCGTGAATTGTATGTACTTATATATTATATAATATATATACGACGACTGGCTCTCAAAATGAAATATACTTTTTTTTTTCAAGTCGTCATTGTGTAAATACCATCGGTAGCTGTACGCAACACCAAGCGCGGTAAAATCTCGCGAAGACGTTTTATCGGGCTGAGAGAAGAAGATTGGAGGTCTTATACGAAAGTGTTTAGAAATATATAAATGTAAACTCCAATATAACGAAAATCTAGAGGTGGTATCAAGAATGTGTTGAATTAAAAAGGCACTCATAGAATGAAAAAATCTAAACGCATTACACGGTTTAGACATAACTTTATCCAAACTTGATTCATAGTATATGTCAATGTAACAGTTGTAATTTATAAATAAAAATATTAAATAAATGCATACATTATGGTATTATACTTATGATTTTAGGAACTATTTATTGAAACTATATTTAGTTACAACAATGTTAACAATGTATTTTAGTCCTAGATTATTATTATATAATAATTAGGAATAAAAGGTATTATAATATATTACAAGATAAATTAAGTTATTTTAGTAACAATACTTAATTAGTAAATTTTATTAACAGCTACGTATATAACCGTATGAATATCATCATAATCATATAGTTGTTTTGAACATAAAAACAATTTTGTATTGATATAGGTAATTATAGTGATTTTATGCGTCTAAATTGATAAATGTCTTCCTTTAAATAAAATACATTCGGTTAAATGACTACCTAGTGAGTTGATGGGATACCGTTAAATGTAGTGTTGTTTTTTTTTAGAGCTTAAGTGACTGTAGTGAAAGAGCTGTATTGGATATTGGTTTTATAATGAAGCATTTTTTTTTTTTTTTTTTAACATTTTATGGCCATAATAAAACTCAAAGTTTCAATAGCCACAACTTTTTTAATTTAATTTAACACAGATTTTTGTATAAAAGTTATTAAAAATCCTAAAAAATAAAAATATAAGTATCAAGACCAATTAATAAAAAAAAAAAAAAATTTCGACCATTTTTTTTTGAATATTTTTCATGAGCAAACATATTTATCCTAAAACCACGTTAAAAAACGTCAAGTTCTCTTACATCAAAATATATAAAAATATTGATTGAACAATATTATTGACATTGCAAATTATGCACATATTGGTGCATATATTTAGAAACTAAGAAGTACTGACAGGTAATATTAAAATGTAAATCTAAATAAAGTAGTATAATAACATTTGTGGTTGAAGATTTATTTGTAATATAAAAACAAAATTTATTTCATTAAAATCAACCGACTGTCTGTTTTTCATATTTTATAAATTATAAATACATATTATAGTATTTTAGAAACACAAATAAATTCGCAAATTCTCCGATATTATTAACGATTTACGATTAAGTTAAAAACATTATTCAAAATGAGAATTCGATTTATTTTACATCACACGAAATGGTTTCTTGTTATTCGATGTATAATAATGTTTAAATTATGTAATGCATTTGATTTGTAAATTTTTCTCATTTAAATAATGGTATTCCCATAAGAGTTTCAAGAATATCTTAGGATAATATAAAATCCGTTGAATATTTTAATATTAGAATTTTTAGTAAACGTACAACGTCTTCCATTTATATAATTTTGGGCTCTAATGACACTACACATATAACATTATGTTAGATATTTCACCACTGGACGGGGAACGCTATCATTAAACACAAATAAATATGAAACAAAATGAAAACCTTTTGCTCTTTATATGTCAACCGAAATTGTTTATACCGGCAGCGCCAGTAAACCTTATCCGCGTGTTACACATTATATTATGATAGCAGTACGTGACCGAATATATAGAATTGCAAAAGGTATCGCCAGGGGACAGTGAAAAATATATAATTTCGCAGGTAGGAGGGGTACAACACATGTACGACTATAAAGAGAGAGAGAGAGAGTTAAAAAAAAAATCGGAGCGTAAAATTAAGCTATGAAAAGAATTTTTCATTAGGC